GGGGGAGGGTGGGCGCGGGTGCTGAGGAGAGCCGCTCGCTGGCCGGCCGGGGCTTTGTGCTCGGCGCGGCTCCTGCTCCCGCGCAGGCCCGCAGCCACAGGGCTGTGGCCTGTCTCAGGTTCTGGCCAGGGGCGGCGGCTGAGTGCCTCCCCCGTGGAGTCTCTGTCCCCCTCCCCCATTGTCCCGGCCTCCGGCCGTTTGCGGCTTCCAGGTTGACTTTTTAGGGGGTTGGCTCCTACTCTGCTAGGACTGTGTGAGGGGAGCATGCGCGCTGGAGGTGTACGTGTGCGGAGGGGGGGGGAGAGGGAGGAGGCGGGTTGGTGGCTTCACAATGCCGCCCCACGTGCTGCCAGATTTAAAGAGAAATGAACCGGTAGTTACTCCTGCGGTCCAACGCCAAGCGTGTGCTTTGCTTGGGTTCGGGCGATCTTACCCCTCCTCAACCTGTAGCCGGTTCCCCCTCTTCCCCGCCCTCCTCCAACCAAGCGCTGAGAGATGAAATAGATTTTTGTGAGTTTGAGGTGTCAAATCACCTTTATGGCTTCTTAAGGAAAAGGTCGACAAGGGCTGGTACAGATTGTATAATTATGTTTATTATTAGACCATGAGCTAGCAGGTTTGGATTAAAATTCTAGATGGGAGAGTGATTTTGAAGTGAATGGAAAAGTAATACCGATCAGAAATACTTTGTTCGAAAGAAGTGAAATAATGTATTGTACTTAAAAGCATCCTTTTACTGTGGTCTTTTCCCCCCTTTATTTTATTTTGGGAGAAGGAATGAAGATTTTACTCTCCTTAAGAATTTTTTATCACAGTCAGGCGGATCTCTGAATTTGAGGCCTTCCTGATCTACAGTCGTGAATTCCAGCACAGCCAGGGCTATTTAGAGAAACCCTGTCTCAAAAACAAAACACAATTAAAAAAAAAAAACCCAACTTTATTTGAATACGTTTTTATTATGTAGCAAATCATTAAGTAGACAGTAAGTACTAAGTATTAATTAAAACAGAAGTGTTATGTAATGGAAATGACAAACATCTTAAAAAGTGCAGAAGATTTTAGCAGTACTATGTTTAAAAAAAAGCCGCTACCCTGGCCGGCAGTGGTGAAGCCTGCTTTAATCTCAGCACCCCGGTGGCAGAGGCAGGACCTCCAAGTTCAAGGTCAGCCTGGTCTACAGAGTGAGTTCCAGGACAGTCAGGGCTACACAGAGAAACTGTGTCTTGAAAAACCAAACCAAAACTAATACCCATTTGTAAATATAGCCTTTTTTTTGAACAGTGTTTCTCTATGGAGCCCTTGACTGTCCTGGAACTCGTAGATCTTTCTTGTTTCCCAAGTGCTGGGATTTGAATCCTTTGCCAGCACAGTAGGCTCGTGTCCCTTTTTTTCTTCACAGAAATAATAGACAAAACATTTTTAAGGTTTTTAACCAATGGTTGATTATTCTGGTGAGGTATCCTAAAATACACTGCAAGGGAGAATAGAAAATGATTAACTTTTCAGGCTTTCTTATAAAGTTACTTAGTTGTAAATTACTATTTACAATTATTTTGCTTTCTTGATTAGAGACAATGTAATAATAAAGTCATTTTTTAGGGATTCTAATTAACTTGTTCGAAATGTATGGAACAAGGTTTGTTAGTTGAAATGTGAAAATATTAGATTTATTTAGTACCTAAAAATGTGCTTATCAAGATGCTTTACTTTAGTAACAATTTATAAATGAGTTTTCTAGTATTACTTGAAAATAATAAAGAATGATAAAATGTAATCTCTTGAACTCAGTGAACTTATATAAGGTTTGATAATAAATGCCTTTATAATATTAAAATGCACTGAGCAGGTAATACAAACATGTTAAATGTTCTCAGCACTAGAATTTCAGCAGTGGCTGCTTTTGTTGAGCTAGTAGTCTGCCACTAATAAAAGATTTTGATTCATTACCTGGGAGAATTTATCCTGTAATGAAGAACTTTGTTCTTCAGTAGTTTAGCAGAACTCTGGGTTACAGAATTTTCCTCTCTGGTACCTTTAGGACAATTGTTGGCTGTGGAGGGTTTTACCTGTGCAGTAAAGGTTACAGCATTTCTGTTCTGTACCCACTAGATGCCAGTAGTAGTGCATACCCTCATTTGTGATAGTGAAAAATGTATCTGTTGCTAAAAGTCCCCTGAGACAAAGTCATTGGATTATGGTGTTTCACCATTTTGGCTATTGGGAAAGCCAGTTAAGAGCACCTTATACACACTCATGAAATCAGATAGCTTGTGTATTTCTTTGTGATATTATTAGGTTATGACTTACTCCCTTGCGGATTTACTTAGTGGCAGTTTTCTGTGATTAAACACCAAGAAGTCCCTCAGTACAATAGACTAATTAAAAACATTTTAAAGGCTTTATAAACATGGGGTTAAAATAGAGTACAGAGCCTGGCATGGTGGCATAATGCCTTTAATCTCCGCATTTGGGAATGAGTTCAAGGCCACCCAGGTCTACATAGATCCAGGACAACCGGGGCTACATAGACACTGTCTTAAAAACAAAACAACTGGAGAGATGGTTCAGAGGTCCTGAGTTCAATTCCCATGGTGGCTCACAACCACTTTTAATGAGATCTGGTGCCTCATCTGTCATGCAGGAATACATGCAGGCAGAACACTGTATACATAATAAATAAATATTAAAAAAATAAACCAAACCAAAACAACAACAAAATGCAGAGTACAAAAAAAACATTTTTCCTTCTGACCAAGAGTCCTCTTTGAGGTTTTAGAGATTATTTTTTACATTTTGTCTTAATTGAGACAATGACTTGCTTTGTAGTTCAAGGTGACTTTAGAACACCTGACCTTCCTACTTCTACCTCCTTAGTCCAGATTACAGGCTTCTATCCCAGTTATAGAGGTGATGCACTTACTGGCTTCTTTGCTGAGGACTGGCATGTACCAGCTACCATATTGAGTATTTTACACATTATCTTATTTAATCCTTCCTGAAAAAAAATGGAGGTTTAGCGAGGTTAAATAACTTGCTGAAGGTCAAATGAGTACTGCTAAGGGAATTGCTAGAGCCAGGGCCTTCTTATTTTATAGACTTCTTGTTTTCAGCTGGGTAAATTGCTCCTTGGGGAACAATACTTGACACAGTCAATGAGGTAGAATTTTATCTTATTAAATTTTTTTATGTGCATGGGTATTTTGACTGCATGTATGTATGTTTGTGTACTACATTTATGCCTTGTGCGTTCTTGGTGCCAGAAGAGGACACCAGACCTGCTGGAACTGGCATTATAGATAATTGTGAGCTGTCGTGTGGATACTGGAATCTGACTGGGTTCTCTGGAAGAGTAACCAGCTCTGTTACCTGCTGAGTCATCTATTCACTCCCTTGAAGTAGAAATTAAGAATCAATTGCTGTGTGCAAGATGCATTCCTTTAATCCTAGCATTTTTGAGGCAGAGGCAGATGAATCTTTGAATTCAAGGCTACTTAGTGAGATCCTTTCATCATGAAATACTGTTTTATTGTCTATACTGTATTGTTTTCCATTGTACTAAAACTTATTGTGTAAAATAACACATAAAATCTTAAGTGCTGGAGATGACTCAGGTTTAAGAATATTGACTGTTCTTCCAGAGGACCTGGGTTTAATTCCCAGCACCCATAGAGGATAGCAACTGTCTGTAATTCCTATTCTAAGGGATATAGTGCCCTCTTTTGGGTTCTGTGGGCATTAGTCACACATACACAGACATACATGAAGGTAAAATTTTCATGTGCATAAAATGAAAATAAATCTTAAGTAAGCTAGGTAGGTTTAGTGTAAATCCCAGATTTGGGAGAGAGCCTATGGCAGGAATTTGTTGGCAGTCAGTCTCAAAGCACAACAACAAAATGAGAAGCAAAAAAAAAAAAATCCATTTATTTATTTATTTATTTAATTTTTGAAAGAGTCTCATGTAGTCCAGGCTGTAT